CCCCAAAACCCCAAAACCCCAAAACCCCAAAACCCCTGAAGCTTAAGCTTGATTGTATTATTAAATCAAAATGAACAACTATGGCGATGACGAAATCATGGAAGAGATTCAAGACAGAATAAATGTTATAAGTAAGCATAATCAACAACCAGTTTAAGTTTGAGATTTTTATTGGATTTGGAGAGATAATACTCATATATTCTCTTGAACAAGAAATCTCATTTAGGATTTATCAAAAATATACAAATTATGTCTTCTAAATTAGAGGTGACTTTATTAATTCCAAATAACCTTAAAGGATACTTACAGAATGCTTAATATAGAAGCTAACATTGAAACTATTGAAGGAAATCTAGAAGATGACTCTTCGGCTAACATTATGAGCCTCAACATTGAAGTGTACATCAAGAATAAGAAATAAAATGATGACTCTTATTAACCAGAATCTTAAGAAGACCGGTGATTCTTCTGAATCTCCTGAGGAGAGAGCTAAGAACAAGGCTATATCTGAGTTCAAGGAAGAAGCCACTCGAATCTGTAATACTTTCGAAACTAAAACCGACCTTGAGGCACTTAAAGAAAAAGTCAAAGAATCCCAAGAGATCGATCCTACAGGGCTTGGGTTTGCTAAAACTGAAGACATAGAGAAAATGATGGGTGACTTCAGAGAAGCTGCCTTAGTCATTAATCATGAGAACAGAAAGCAGAAAGCTGCAGATGGAAGTAGAGAGGAATACAAGAGCGGAGAGAAGTTCAGCTCAAGCAAGAAGAATAAGGAAAAAGGCATGCCCAAATCTTTGAGAATGATCGATCTTGAAAGCGAGAAGTACCAGCAACAACAGAGGAATAAGATTGAAGCTGTTCCTATAAAAGAACGTGAGCCTTCTGAAGACTTGGAGAACAAAACCTGTGGTAAATGAGTAATCTTTTAGGTTGTCAAGTATGAATGGGAATTAAGAGTTTCAATAAACATCAAAATAAATGGGGTTTTGGGGTTTTGGGGTTTTGGGGTTTTGGGG